CCCCGAGTCTACATGTGCTCTACTAGGGGGATTTAATAACGGAACATCTCCATGACCGAGAGTAACCCCTGTAGTTCGCCAAGCGGATGTAGCCAAGGTTCCCTCCATATAAAAGCTTTTCTAGATCCAGATGATTCTCCTCCTCTGTGTACAGATCACACATGCCTGGATAACAAGCCAAGACAAAAATATTTCAAAAAGTAGTGAAGAAGTGTGGTTTAGCTGGAAAAAGGTATTTCGATTTTCCACTGATTCATTGTCTGTAATTGGTTTATTCTCTTATTTTAATGGTAGTCCTATCTGCTATAAAGAAATATGAAAAGATAACGGAGTTAAATGGCAAACTTTTGATATTTTTCTTTTCAACAACGCATCACTTATAGATATTTTGTTTCATAGCAAAAATGTGTTTGTCGTAGTTTTTTGTTGTACTTAATTATAAAACACGATGTAGACTAGTCTTCGGGCACATTTACAACGACATTATGTATTGTTATGAAACGTTGATTTACTCATTCATGAAAAGGACTTCATGATTGACGGCCTTCAATATTAGATTTTTCCAAGGAAAACGGAGAACACCGCACGAATCTTCTCACCCATTGTGTTAAACAAACGTTTAAAAAACGATCCCATATTTTCTATTCAATTACATTCTTTGCGGAGTTATCCCTGCACACGTTCCACAACATTTTGCCACCAAACAAGGTAATAAACAAGTTAGAAACAAGTTACTTTGTTTCAATTTACAGTTAAGGGACGTCAGTGTGAAGCCCCGCAAAATAACATGTTATTGATAGGTCCGTTAATCATTTGTAAATGAAGATTTTTTTGTCATTTATATTGTCGTCTTACCTGCGGGAGTTATCACACAACCAACAGCCCACCTGGCTCTTGTGTGAAGACAAAAGACAGGGAGACAATAAAATGTAACCTAGACTGAGTTTGTCCCTCCAAACAACAGTAGAGAAAGTGATAGTAGCGTACCATAGCGATAGTTAGAGGATGCTACGTTGTATATGTCCCATTATAGCGGTCTGTGAGAGCATGGGCAGCGTCATTGAGGCCATCTCCATTTTAAAGTAGTACATTTTCTTCTACTACTTCTATGGTAAACACTCTGAAAGGTTGCATAGTTCACACTGCCACCTAGAGTGTGTTTGAACAGGTATAAAGCCTAGGTTGGCGATTTACTGCCACCTGCAGTTATGAAATGTTTTCTCACAAGTATAATTAATTGGCTGATCCCTCATGATGATCTGGATGGAATGATGTGATCCTTCCTTAACCCATAGGAAGTCCCACCCAATTGACTTCTTCAAAATTGTGACTATGCTAAAACGGGCTTTTGGGCGCTAGAGTCCTCTATCTATCTCTGTGTAGCCTACTCATCAATTTATGCCCATGTCCCATTTATTGGGTTCATACTGAGCCCCTTATGGGTCATGGTGGAGGAAAAAACAGGCCAGACTAATCCATTCCCTTGTTTTTTTTATTTGTTCCCTCAATATAAAACATAAATTCCATCAATTTATTAATTAGTTCCCTCAGATAAAATAAAATTATATTTGTCACACATGCGCCGAATACAACAGTAACTTACTGTGAAACGCTTAGTTACGAGCTCTTAACCAACATTGCAGTTTGAAAAAAGTAAGTAAGAAATAGGAACGGCATTCTCCTTTTGTACCATGACGGTTTCATTCCCACTTGGCCGATAACAATTGCAGCCTAATGTAATTCTATTTAGTTAATTACATGCTTCAAATGGTGATGATCACTGATCATTCAATAGCTTATTTCCAGTTTCAGTGTTTTCATATGCCTCCGAATCATAAGGACAAATAACCCTTATGATTCGTGGGGAACGCGCGTGCAAAACCCCTCATTTCGGCTAAGTAATTCCAATATCGTGAAAAGCCAGGAGCCTCACTAGCAGTCAAAACTGAATGGTGCATGTTTAAGATGCAAACTAAATACATTTTGTCCAAACTCCGATTCATGCCTCTTGGACAACATAAACAGTTGTCCATTTTGCGCGGCACTCGTCCCCGCGACCCAGTGTTTTACCCCTCGTCTATAAAGTTAACGCCATATACGTCCAGTAAAACATGTTGCAGCCAAGCGCCTGGATGTGTTTATGTTGTTTACAATTGTGCGTGTGACTCATTGGAGGCAGAAAGGAAAGGCATGCTTCGGTGTTAACAGGTGCAATTATGCGCTCTCATCCCTAGGCAGGAATTCCGTCTGCCTCTGCTTCATGACCATAGCTGTTCTAGTTTATACTCCGGGGGAGTTCGTTAGCTACCTACCTTGGCAATTAGATAATATCCAGGTGAACGTATTATCATCGCAATAAAGCAAATAGCTATCCGTTTTAGTTATGAACATAGAGCCAGAGCCGCTTTGAACCATCTACCTGTGCGTGGTTGTCTAAGTCGCTACACAGCCAAAGCTAACGAGCAAGATGCCCAGCTAGCAGCTGAGTCAGTCAGTCAATCACACAATTCTGGGAAAGGGGTCTAGAGAGAGATGGGACTCCGATTCTGACCGGGGTCATAAGGTCATCTTTTTTATTTTATTTATTTTATTTAAATTTTTTAGTCATTTAGCAGACGCTCTTATCCAGAGCGACTAACAGTTAGTGAATACATATATATATATTTTTTTACTGGCCCCCCGTGGGAAACGAACCCACACCCCTGGCGTTGCAAACGCCATGCTCTATCAACTGAGCTACATCCCTGCCGGCCATTCCCTCCCCTACCCTGGACGACGCTGGGCCAATTGTGCGCCGCCCATGAGTCTCCCGGTCTGGATTCGAACCAGGATCTCTAGTGGCACAGTTAGCACTGCGATGCAGTGCCTTAGACCACTGCGCCACTCAGAGTCATCTGACCCTAGAGGCATATTTTGGATCATAGCCCCCTAAGTTGGTTTATTCAATTCTTTACATTTTTCATGATTTGTCAATCAACTTGTTCTTAACAAATCTAAATCATGTTTTGTGTTTCTGTATCAATATGGCAAAAACATTTTTTATCAAGACCTTTAGGGTCATTTTGACCCAAGCCAAAAACATTGAATTCTGCCTACAGCAATTTGATATATAGGACATTTATTTGCATGTAGGTTTCTCTGGAGACATAATTGTTATCCATACCCCAGAGGGTGGAGGGGGGCCTGTACCAGTGATTCTGACCCGATATAAAGGTAATATGCAGAGATATACACTCCCAATCTGGACCATCAGAACCACACGCTTTGTACTGACGGAACCACTAATAACCTGTAAATACGTCCCCTCAACCTATCCTCACTCCCATAAGGTCTGCCTGGGAACTGATTGGGGACACAGTGCAGAAGAAGTTCCCATGTGAGGAGGACCTATTGGCGAGATGTGATCTTGTCAGCTCCAGATAGACAAATGACCCTTGACCTTGTACCTTTGAGCTGTGTGCTGGCTGGCTGGACTTTTAACCCACAGTCACCACTGCCTGTGTGTCATTTCAGTTTAGAGAGCTGGAGCTGAGGGAAGCTTGAGTGGAAGAGGTCCAGAGTAGAGATGTCCATCTCAACTCAGCTGGGCTTGTTGTTGTGGAAGAACTTTACCTACAGGAGAAGGCAAACGGTAAGCAGTCCATCTTTATATCAGATTGTGTGAATTGGTGAAATCCTTGGTAAGGAATTGGGACTTTTTCTCATGGCTTTGTTTGATAGGAACATTTAAAAGAGGATGTATAATTATGTTCTTCTGTTATAATGTTTACAGTGTATTTAAAACAAATGTTGTATTTACTTTATTATTGTCATATCCCAGGTCTACAGTTTGAATTCCTTCTTTGTAGCAAATCTTACTTCACACAATAGTTCAATAGCTGTTTAGTTACAAAGAGTGGTCATGTCTGTTAGGTCCGGTTCTCCTATTATAAGAGTAAGAACAGCACTGTGATAGGCCCCAAACATCACTGGGGGCGAGCTCCCTGCCCTCCAGGACATCTACACCAGGCGGTGTCTGAGGAAGGCCCGAAAGATCGTCAAGGACTTCAGTCACCCAAGCCATTAACTTTTCACTCTGTTACTATCTGGCAAGCCCTATCAGAGTATCGGGTCTCGGACCAACAGGCTCCGAGACAGCTTCTACCACTAGGCCATCAGACTGCTGAAAAGCTCATCCTAGCCGTCTCCCTGGACAGACCTGCACCTTAGAGACTATTTGCACCGGATAAATTATTTAAACTGACTACCCACACATCCAACCCTTACACACAAACACAACCACGCAAACACCCATAAACACACACTCAGAACTCATATACACACACTCACACACACAGTCAACGCTGCTGTTCTAATATATACCATTGATTCCACCAGCCACTTTATATTTGTAAATACAGTGTAAATCCAGTCCATTATTACTATGCATACTACCTCTTCTACTACTTTTTATTCAAATAGTCCCCCAAATAAAATGTTTTATTGGAAAATGTATTATGCTCACACGCCCAAAGGGTCAGAGCTTTATCGTCGCAGTGTTAGATTTAACAGCTACTACAGCTTGTTCTCCCACGTGTGTTAGAACCCTGCCTCTAGATGGCTTTACATGTGCTGGAGTAGTATTTCTCTGTCTCCTAATCCAATCAGCATGCACCTGATAACCCTTGAACAGAGATGACTTCACTGTTGCTGGATGTGGGTGTGCAGCATTGGCTATTCTGAAGTCAGGGTTGGTTGTATTGATCGCTGAATGAGTCCTAATAAAAGCTGTCCTATGAGAGCTACATCCTGCCTGCCTATAGCGTTGATGCAGGCATATTATATGGTGTTGTGAGGGAGCCATTTTGAATGCCAGCTTTTAAGAGCTTCAGACTATTAGCAGACAAGCTAGGCTTACGGTTATAAAGAGGGGAGGAAGGGGAAGTAGTAATGGTTTACATAGGCCATGCTCCTTATCAAAAATGCTAACTGGCCTTCTTCACTTGTTTTCTTCTCTCTAGCTCCAACTGCTGATTGAGATAGTATGGCCCCTGTTCATCTTCTTCATTTTGATATCAGTGAGACTGAACTACCCTCCGTACGAACAACATGAATGTAAGTATGATGCACCCCCCTTTTCATTGTTTACGCACACACATTTCTTCACAAGACACTGAACTGAATTGCCCCCCACACCCCAAATGGCTGTTCAACCACTCCTGTTGTTGTAGCCACAGAGACATTTGGATTTGGAATCTGGGGATGAACTATGTTGCCTCATGTATACATATTGTACACTGCCAAAGATACAAGCCATTGATGCTACCGTAAACAAGCTAGCAATACCATGCACTAGTATGCTACAATGCGATGTGTAGGCATTTATTTTGAAACTGCTACGTGCTGGCCACTCGAGTAAACACACTAAGGAGAAAAAAAACCAATACATTTTCACAATCCAACAGCAGCCTAATCGTGTTGAACTGTTTATGATATGTCCTTATCAGGTGTGGATGCTGGGTGTTTTATGCGTTAACTGTTACATGGGGAATATTCTGTCCTGCTAATCAATTTTCTGGTATGGGATGGCAGATATACCCCTGTTAATGTGTTTTTATCTAAAGCCTGACAGATGATTTCTGCCAACTGGGCATGTATCCCTTTACCCCTCCTGTACGAAGCCTCCGATATGAACATCACAATAGATCCAATACTACTAATCACTGGAGCTTTTTTTTGGCAAGAGACAAAACAGAGGCTCTTGTTTGCTTAAGACAAAATGTCTCTATGTGATCAGTCAAAACTGTACAAATATAAGTTTGACAGTTTTCTATTTGATTCTAACGTTAATTTGTGAGGTGGCTCAGATTGCCTTTGTACATATCAGTGGCTTTATGGGGGGTTTAGAGTTTATGATGCCTTTATTACTGCTCTAATCGCATTATCAAGGTTCTATATGTGAAAGCTGATAAAGGTCGCAAGGCCCTCAGAGACTATCTTTGGCACGGGTATGGGAAAAGCTTACATAATGGAAATGCACTGGCTGAACCAAAGCCTGTTTTCACCGGAATGATACGCTAGAGAAAGCTTCAGTTAGTTATATCTCTGGGGGCGGTTCACAGAACAGGATCAATAAAGCTGCCGGCTACCTTTTCTATGCTAAAGCAACTATTGTTTCTTAGTATGGGACTTGATACTCTGCATTCTTAATGAATTACAAAATTAAGAGTTACAGCTGTGTGTTTAACAAAGTCAAACTGGTTGACTTATTGATCCTACTTTGTGTACCCTGCTTCAGGATATAGTTGTGTAGGACAAAGCATTCATATAGCTACTAATAACTATTATCAATGGGATGAACACATCCCCTGAGAAATCTTTGTCTACACCAGAATATCCGCTTTCTTTCATTCCCGGAAGCCTGCGCTTTGTCCATCTGCCAGAAAGCAGAAGCATTAGCGGGTAAATTGCTTTCAGTTCCACCTAAAGTCCTGGTTAGGCACCAGGCAGTGGCATACTTTTGGTGTGAGTCATACAGCACCTGGGTCTGGGGATGTTGTGACTGCTCCTACACCACATAGGAAAGACATGTTCTTCCTTGCACAGGGCTAACCTATTGCTTTTGGGGATGGATATTAACCACGAAAAGAATGGCAAAAAAAATGTGACAGGGCAAAAAGACTCCAAGTACCCATTGCTCTTTTTGAAGATTTTAAATCGTTTGAGTTGAATGTGGTGCTAGTTTGAAAACTGCCTAGCTAAATGCCATTTAGGATTCACATTTATCACCCACTAGTTAATTAAGTCATAATATGTGTAGGCCATTGATGACGATCACTCTGAAAAGCAAAATGTCCGCCCTGAATCAGCTAAGCAATTGGCTATGTGGTGTTATCTCTTATCTCTGCTTTGCTTAGTAATGGGCCAGTTGGCAGTCTTAAGGTTTACTGATAGCAGGCCTACTTTTTTAACTCATCACACAAATAACTGCAAGCCTCTTGGGGAGGGAGGGACGGCACCTTGGGGGGGGGGGGGGGGGGCAAAGGTCGTACATTGTACTTAGGCAATCACTCCCTCATATCGATAAGGCCTGTAGCTGCAGAGTGAAGCCTTCAAGATGGGACAAGATGTGGATACGCTGATGCTAGCTCATCTGCTGCCAGCCCGATAAGGCAATCTGAGAACACACATCGTTATCTGTATCTTTCCTAGACAAAAATATAATTTTGAAACTCTGCAGGTGATGTTCAAAGACCACCCCAAATAGATCCAGTGGGTTGATATAGAGGCCATTTGATATAGTCCCCTGTAGCTCAGTTGGTAGAGCATGGCGCTTGCAACGCCAGGGTTGTGGGTTTGTTTCCCACAGGGGGCCAGTATGAAAATGTATGCACTCACTAACTGTAAGTTGCTCTGGATAAGAGCGTCTGCTAAATTACTAAAATTAAAATTTAAATGTCTCAGTATCAGATCAAACGTGACTGGAATTACCCCGTGTTCTCTCCAGTCCACTCTCTGTAGATAGTGGATTAATAGAGTAAATATGTCAAAAATGTCCCCCAAAAAGTGTTTTGTTATACACCCAGAGATGTAGTTTTGAATGTGGTGTAAACATTATTGAATTTCAAAATACCACAATTTGTGTCTAATGACTGGACTGTACGGTGACGTTACTGATGGTATCCCTCCCGGTGTCTCCCTCAGGTCATTTCCCCAACAAGGCCATGCCCTCGGCGGGCACCCTGCCCTGGATCCAAGGCATCATCTGCAATGCCAACAACCCCTGCTTCCGCAACCCCACTCCTGGAGAGTCCCCGGGGGTCGTGGGTAACTTCAACGAGTCCATGTGAGTTCCACCCCAAGCTGTATCTGATCGTTTTAAAAACATGAATACACTTTATTTTATGCTTCGTCCACTTCATTGGATTAATAACATCATTGTATCCAAATAAAGAAAATGGTCACTTTAATGTTTCCTGTAAATATCCTATTTATAACTTGAATTTAACTGATTCAATTGTATTCTGTGTTAATCTGTTTCTCTGTGGATGTCTGCAGAATCTCTCGTCTGTTCTCAGATGCCAAGAAGATCCTGCTGTACAGTCAGAATGACCGGAATCTGGACGGCTTTAAAGGCCTCATCCAGGCCCTGAAGACACTACAGGCCAACACCAAAGGTAAGAGGCACCTCTATATAAACCATTGTTCAATGTACACACTACTACATTCACAAGAAACACCAGGGGCCTATTCATTTGAGTGGAACGTTCATAAACTCACAGCCTAGAATAGACAGTATTTTAACTGAAACTGAATCAAGAGTCATTCCAGGTCTACGTAGTGCATCTCTGTCTGCCCTGAACTTTCCGCCCCTTTGAGCAGGCCCCGAAGAGTTACTCTACCACCACGTCTGGGCAGAAAATAGGTTTTACACTAATTACCTTACGCTGTGCTGACTCGCAGCGGGACTCCCATCCCCTTTTTTCCTGCTCCAACCTGCCTTCTGGGTTCGCCTCCTGTGCCTGTGAATGGCTGTGGATGGATAGAGTTATAATTTTAAAGCTGAACTTGTAAAACATTTTTTAAAGATTGTACCACCTTAATTTCACACACTGATTCCTTCTGTAATGACATTCCGTTTTGAGCATTTAGACAATGCTGTGTTTAGAGTGGCAGTGGTGGGGCCTCCAGAGTGGTGCAGCAGTCTAAGGCACTGCATCGCAGTGCTTGAGGCGTCACTACAGACCCGTGTTCGAACCCAGGCTGTGTCACAGCTGGCCGTGACCAGGAGACCCATGAGGTGGCGCACAATTGGCCCAGTGTCATCGGGGTTATGGGAGGGTTTGGCTGGCAGGGATTTCCTTGTCCCATCGTGCTCTAGCGAATCCTTGTGGCGGGCCGGGCGCCTGCAAGCTGACGTCGGTCGCCAGCTGGACGGTGTTTCCTCTGACACATTGGTGCGGCTGGCTTCCGGATTAAGCGAGCAGTGTGTCAAGAAGCAGGGTTGTGTTTCGGAGTACCCATGGCTCTTGACTTTCGCCTCTCGAGAGTCCGTAGGGGAGTTGCAGTGATGGGACAAGACTGTAACTACCAATTGAGGAGAAAAAGGGGTAAAAAAAAATTAAGAGTGGTGGTGAGATGGTTTGAGGCAGTAGATGGATGAAAGCTGGCAGAGTCTCTGATAGGTTATGTCAGGCCATTGGGCACATGGCTTGAAGGTATTCTCATATGCCATTCAAGATAGGACAGATTTGACGTGCTTCCTTACTTACTGTGTGCTGGGTTAATAGTGTGTTTCTCATTAGACAAAATAGGACCGTGCTACCTTAGTCAGGTGACCTTATATTACATTAGCTTGGGTAATGGACTTTATAAAATGAAAAGCCTTTCATGGGAGTAGTATAACAACAAACAGACTAGACTTCAATCTCAAGGCAAATACAGTACTACTGTAATGAATGAGATATTTGCCATATCTGTGTATCCACTTTGGCTGATGGAAGAAAACATTTCTGTGGAAATATAGTTAGGTATACGCTCAGTCCTGATTAATTAGGTATACGCTGAGTCCTGGATAATTAGGTATACGCTGAGTCCTGGATAATTAGGTATACGCTGAGTCCTGGATAATTAGGTATACGCTGAGTCCTGGATAATTAGGTATACGCTGAGTCCTGGATAATTAGGTATACGCTGAGTCCTGGATAATTAGGTATACGCTGAGTCCTGGATAATTAGGTATACGCTGACTCCTGGATAATTAGGTATACGCTGAGTCCTGGAGTGTAGGTGCCTCAAACTCCTAAAACACTCAAATGAGCACAGCAGATGTTAAAGACGTACTCCAGCAATTTATGAACTTTTCCTATTGAAAAACAATATCCCACGTATAAATACAGTAATGTACACACTCTTAAGGGTAAATTATAAATTATGTTTTGAGGAAAATAGTGTTCTTTACACACAAGTACAAACTACAAGGAGTATGCCATTCAAGAAGTTGGTCTGATGGTGGCCTCTGATGTCATCGGCCTCCCCCATTGCTTGAGGAACAATCAGGAGCTATAGAGGGGTGAGGAGGAGGAGCTCCATGGACCCTTCATGTCCGGAAGCAATTTAGCCATTCATTGTAGCCATTGGCGTTCTGTAGAGTTCACAATTAACACGTGACATTCCTGGATTTCTCATTATATTAATCAAGTCTGATTCAATGAACAAATGCGATAGTCAGTTTAAAAAAGGTTAACGGTACAAGACTGTGTACATACAGTATCTGGCTGTGTTGGCAAAATCACTACATATCCCATCAAGCCAAGCGAGGAGAGGCTGCCCGTTGTCACAGTTCCAAGACCAGTCAGAAACGTCCAGCCAATGACGCCGGTGGAGCTCAAATATGAACTTGGATCTGCGTTATGTAGCAATGATATCCTTCGCCACAGTTGTCTTACGACACGACAGATAGCTCGAACCAGTCATGACTATTCAACAAAACAATACATACTTTTCAAGTTTCTTTCCAGCGATGTTCTTTGTTACATTATTGTATAGCTTGCAAAGGAGTTTTGAAGTTGAAGGTGCAGTTTTTATGAAGTTTGGCAATGAGGACAAACACATATTCCAGCTAGTTTAGCCAGGGAAAACTGTGGAAAACAAGTTCGGTACAGGATATATACTGAACAAAAATATAAACGCAACATGCAACAATTTCAACGTTTTTACTGAGTTACAGTTCACATAAGGAAATAGGTCAATTTAAATAAATTCGTTAGGCCCTAATCTATGGATTTCACATGACCAGGCCGGGGAGCCAGGCCCAGCCAATCAGAATGATTTTTTCCCACAAATAGGCTTTATTACAGACATAAATACTCCTCAGCACCCCCCTCAGATGATCCCGCAGGGGAAGAAGCCGGATGTGGAGGTCCTGGGCTGGCGTGGTCACACGTGGTCTGCAGTTGTGAGGCCAGTTGGACGTACTGCCAAATTATCTGAAACGACGTTGGAGGCAGCTTATGGTAGAGAAATTAATATGAAATTCTCTGGCAACAGCTCTGGTGAACATTCCTGCAGTCAGCATGCCAATTGCACACTCCCTGAAAACTTGAGACATCTGTGGCATTGTGTTGTGTGACAAAACTGCACATTTTAAGTGGCCATTTATTGTCCCCAAGCACAAGGTGCACCTGTGTAATGAACATGCTGTTTAATCAGCTGCTTGATATGCCACACCTGTCAGGTGGATGGATGTAAACAAATTTGTGCACAAAATTTGAGAGAAATAAGTTTTTTGTGCGTATTGAACATTTTGGGGATTTATTTATTTCAGCTCATGAAATATGGGACCAACACTTTACATGTTGCATTTATATTTTTGTTCAGTGTAGTTGGGCGCACATGCACACAAGGCTAATTCAGGAGAGAGATTGTAGTTTTTATACCCTGATATCAGGAGCTGGTGGTGAAAAGTTTGATTAAACAATTCAGAGACTGAAATGAATACATCAGATGACAAATATTTAAGGAGAGCGAATCTATATAAAGTCCTGAAATCAGCTCTAACTGTCAATAGTAAACCAAAGCTTAAAACGATGTTTGAGTGAACCTGAATCAAGAAAATGACTGGTGTATATAGCCTCGCTACTGTTATTTTACTGCTGCTCTTTAATTATTTGTTATTTTTCTTCTTTTTTTATTTTTACTAATCAATTTTTTATTTGAAGTCTCTTCCAGTCATGGTAGACTCCTCCTCCTCACCACTCTATAGAGACCAAAAGAGGATATGCCCACCCCGCTAGTTGTGCCATGTCATGAGGACACCTGGACCACCTATTGAGAGTTTACATTTTAGTCATTTAGCAGACGCTCTTATCCAGAGCAATTAGGGTTAAGTGCCTTGCTCAAGGGCACATCGACAGATTTTTCACCTAGTCGGCTCGGGGATTAGAACCAGCGACCTTTCGGTTACTGGCACAACGCTCTTAACCACTAAGCTACCTGCCGCCCTGATCAAATCAAATTGTATTTGTTTAGCAGATGTTATAGCGGGTGTAGCGAAATGCTTGTTCTTCTAGCTCCGACAGTGCAGTAATATCTAACAATTTCACAACATATACCTAATACACACAAAACTAGTAAGGAATGGAATTTAAGAAAATATACAAATATGGACAAGCAATGACAGAGCGGCATGGTCTAAGATACAGTAGAATATTATAGAATAGAATGCAGTATATACATATGAGATGAGTAGTGCAAGATATGTAAACATTATTAAAGTGACTGTAAACATTATTAAAGTGACTAGTGTTCCATTTCTTAAAGTGGCCAGTGATTTCAATAGGCAGCAGCAGCCTCTAATGTGCTAGTGATGGCTATTTAACAGTCTGATGGACTTGAGGTAGAAGCTGTTTTTCATTCTCTCGGTCCCAGCTTTGATGCACCTGGCAGTGTCTCGGGTGGTTGATGTCCTTGATGATCTTTTTGGCCTTCCTGTGACATCGGGTGCTGTATGTGTCTTGGAGGGCGGGTAGTTTGCCCCGATAATGCGTTCGTCAGACCGCACCACCCTCTGGAGAGCCCTGCGGTTGCGGGCGGTGCAGTTGCCGTACCAGGTGGTGATACAGCCCGACAGGATGCTCTCAATTTTGCATCTGTAAAAGTTTGTGAGGGTTTTAGGTGCCAAGACAAATTTCTTCAGCCTCCTGAGGTTGAAGAGGCTCTGTTGCGCCTTCTTCACCACACTGTCTGCGTGGATGGACCATTTCAGTTTGTCGGTGATGTGTACGCCAAGGAACTTGAAGCTTTCCACCTTCTCCACTGCGGTCCCATCTATGTGGATAGGGGGGGCACCCTCTGCCGTTTTCTGAAGTCCACGATCATCTCCTTTGTTTTGTTGACGTTGAGTGAGAGGTTATTTTCCTGGCACCACACTCCCAGAGCCCTCACCTCCTCCCTGTAGGTGGTCTCGTCATTGTTGGTAATCAAGCCTACACTGTTGTGTCGTCTGCAAACTTGATGATTGAGTTGGAGGCTAGCTTGGCAACGCAGTCATGGGTGAACAGGGAGTACAGGAGGGGGCTGAGCACGCATCCTTGTGGGGCCCCTGTGTTGAGGATCAGCGAAGTGGAGATGTTGTTTCCTACCTTCACAACCTGGGGGCGGCCCGTCAGGAAGTCC